GACTATGGGGGGGTAGATAGGAGAAAATCAAGGGAAGAGGAAGTAAAAAGGACCAAGAGATGATATGCATGACCATCAGTTCCCTACAATGAATCCATTTATTATGTGTCAAAAAGATATGCTAATAAGAATGTTTTAAGATTATACCAGTAAAAAATGGACTAGGCTCTACTACTCCAAGGTTACATCGTAACCCAGTCCAGAAAGGCTGTCATCAAACACCTAAAACAACAAATGCTGGTGAGGATGGGAAGAAAAAGAAACTCTTTGATGGTGTTGGTGGAATGTCAACTAGTACAGACACTACAGAAATCAATACAGAGATTCCTCTAAAAACTAAAAATAGAAAAAAAAAAAAACCCTAAAAATAGAAATTCCATTTCATCCAGCTGTACCATCTCTATTTTTTCCTCAAAAGAGTTAAAAAATCACACTATAGTCTACATACATACCATGTTTATAATAGAACAATTCATGATAGCTAAGCTCTGCAAAAATCCTAGATGTCCATCAAAAATGAAGGGATAAAGCAAATGTAAAATATTTACACAATGGGTTAATACTGAATCATAAAGAAAAAAAGAAATTATGTCATATGCAGGAAAATGAATGGATCATGAGGCCACAATGCTAAGTGTAATAACTCAGACATGAAGTTAAGTATCACGTGGTTTACGTTATATACAAGAAATCTAAAATATAAATTAATTAAAGGGTAAGATAAAGGAAAGATGTAGGAAATACAGAGGCAGACTTGTGGGGCTAGGGAAGAAGACAAGAAAAAGTTGGAGAAAGTAGGTAAAAGGATCAAAACTGATGAAGATGTGACTTATATGTGTACCAGTTCCTCAAAATGAAGTAACTAATATGTATTCGAAACATACACTGTAAACAAGAGAAGCTAATCACGGCAGATGTGACCAAAGATCTAAAGGTAAATGCAAGAGCAATCAAGGCCTTAAAAAGGAATCACAGAAGTAAACTCTCCTGACCTTGAACTTGGCAGAGAACTTTTAGATATGATTGATGCCCCTAGAAAGAAAAAACAGATTGTAGTTCATAAAAATTGTGGAAGTGACAGAATAATCAAAGAATGAGACAAATATTTGCAAATCATTTATCTGCAAATGTCTAATAAACATAATAAGATATTCCAAATCATCAACTGTCAGAGAAATGCAAATTACAACCCCAAGATATCATTTCCAACACCTAAGTAAGGCCAGTGAAAGAAAAGGAGAAGAAAAAAAAGATTTGGGAGCCATGTGGAAAAATAAGAACCTTCAGAACACTGCTGCTTGGCCCAGCTGTTTGGACAACTGTCAGGCAGATGCTCAAACAGTTAAACCAGATGACCCATGATGTCACCTAGAAATATACTCAAGAGCAATACAAATCTGTGTCTAAAACCTTGTTTACAATAGCATTTTACATAATAACTAAAAGGTAGAGATAACACCAATGTCCATCAACAAAGGGATAAATAAAATATGGTATATTCATACAATGGAATAATGGGCACAAAACTGAATTATGGAAAAATCTAAAATACGTGTGGACATTGAAAACCGGAAGTGAAATAAATCAGTCACAAAAGGTACCATACACCATGGTTCCATTCATATGAAAGTCCAGAATAAGGAGATTTATGAGACAGAAATTAGGTTAGGTGTACACCCAGCTGGAGTAGGAGCATAAATGGGAGGAAAAGTGGAGGAATAGCTAAATAATACACTTTACTGGCGTTCATAAAAGTTTTACGAAATTGTAGTGATGGCTGCATCCATCTGTGAATATACTAAAGTATACTATTATAATAGACTATAAACATTTTATTTTTTTAATTTTTTTTTTTTTTTTGGTTTTTCTCCAGTACCAGGAACCAAACTCACGACCTTGCGCTTGCCAGGCAGGCACTTTTGCCGCTGAGCTAAATCCCCAGCCCCGACTATAAACATTTTAAATGGGTGAGTTGTGTGGTACATGAACTGTATCTCAATGGAGTTATTCCAGATGCACTATGATTCTAATTTATGAAACAAAAAGAGACATGTATCATATCAACACTCTTGCACAGCTATGTAAATAATCAGGCCAGGTCTTATGAGGTTAGAAGAATTTTTAATCTACACTATTTTTAAATATTGTTATAATCAGAACAAAAAGAGTGTAAAAAAATTACAGAAGTTTTGAAATGGACATATGTAGTCTATCTGATATATTTGTATGCAGTGTGTAATATACTCTGTGATATATTGATATGTAAAGTATAGTCTATATGACATTTCTGTTGCTTTCCAATGTCTCTTCTGAAGTTATTCCTGTTATTTTGAGATAATTTCATTAATGTTAGTTGTAGAAGATTGATACTAATGCACATTTTTTCTTAATCACAGAAATACAAATTTTGCTAAATACAAATTTAGTAAAATGTAACTGATAGGTTTTGCCTTTATTAATTCAATTCAGCTTTTTTATATGCTGAAAAATATACTTTTCCTTTGAATAATGGTAGCACATTATTAGTTCTCTTGTTAATGAGTTCAACAAAATTTTGATGTAATTTCATTTTTCATTTGTGTAAGTCATGAATTCACCTTCTTTTAAAAATTGTGTTTGATAGCCAGATCTCATGGTGCATACTTGTATCCCAGTGAAATGGGAAGCTGAAGCAGGAGGATCACAAATTGGAGTCCTGCTTAGGCAACTTAGAAAGACCCAGTCTGAAATTTAAAAAACAAAAATGGGGATAGGGACCTAGCTCTGTGAAAGCTTTGGGTTCACTCCCCAGTCCCACAAAAAAAATAATTGTGTGCAGTATTTTTTTTACTTTTCATTCATAGTTTTTAAGGTAAAGCTACACAAAGGAATAAAGGAGATAAATCCCTAATCATTTTCTTATTTATGAGCAACTTTTCTCTTATCATATAAGAGATTTGCACACATCATAGTTCATTTGATTATTTAGCTTGAAAAACAAATTCATAACTGTTTAAACTTAATTAAATTCAATTATTGGTTTATTGAATCTTCAAAGAAGGTAATAGAGATATAGTGATTGACTTTAAGAAGTATTCCCTGAATGTTATAGGAATTATTTTATTAATTGGATTATTCAGAACTCAAGTAAACATGACTGAAAATCAACTCTAACTTGTAACTTTAATATTTCCATAAAATCAAACAAAGACATATTTAAGTAAGTATAACATAAGTTGTTTTAATTGACCAGAATAGGTTGAATAGTTTTAGAGAGAATGTTTCTTTTGGCAGATAAAACCAAGAAAATTTCAAATAAGTTCACATTAAAAATATATAAGCAATAAATACAGCATTACAGTTACCATTCTCTATGTACATTGGATTACATGTGAACAAACACTAAATTGCAGAATAGTTATTTTATGAATAACACACTATAAAATCACTTTTATAAAACTCAACAAAATAGAATTTTTAGAAAATTAAAATGAGGCTTTCAGGAGGAATTGCAGAAAAATGGCAGATCTATGTCTGAAAAGCTAGAAATTCCCAAAATTAGTTTTTGGATACCAAAGAAGGTCAAGTTGAAAAAGTATAAGATTTAATTTTTAAAGTGTGATAGATCTTACTCAGCACTTCCAATTGAGAGAAGGCTAACATTTAAAAATAATTACTCTTAAAAACATACGAGTACAAAACTAATACTGATAGTTCACAGATGGGTTGGCACATAGGAAAATCGTGCAGCAGTGCAGCAAAAGAAATCCCACCTGCACTTAATCGATTAAAGTAGAGTGAAAAGCAGCTTGAAAATTACAATGTCATTTTAACATGCTTTGTGGTAATGTGGCATTTTTTGCTATCATGGCAATGCTGAAATATGTGAACATTGTCAGCAAAGGGTATGAATCTGAGTTTGAATAATAGTTAAAATGCCCTTTATTAAAAGAATGTTCATATAATTTAGGGAGTTGAAAGATGTTAACAAGTTGTGCTTCTTTCTAGGACAGCTTTTTATAAACTCATAAATGTGAAACTAAATAATACTTATACACGTATGGTTAAATTATAAGTTGTAAATACATTTAACACACCATTTAATGTATCAATTGTAATTTAAATAATTTCCTTGACAATTTCAAATGACCTCCGAGTTCACCATCTATTAGCCATTCAAGAAACAATTTATGGTGACTAAACCATTAGTTTAATCAATTTTTAGCTGTCTGACAACTTCAAAATACATTCACATGACTTGGACCAAAACTGACTTTCCCTGCTTGAAGTCATTATTAATGTTCAGAGTTAGTGGAAAATAACATTAGGAAAATTGAATCCCATTTAAAAATCAATTTAATTCATTAGCAAGACTAACTTCCGTTGTAATTATTTTGTACATATCTCACAACTCTTTGCAACTGAGGCATATTCAAGTCTTTCACTGGTTTGTGCTATTATGTACCACAGCCTACGAAACTATTAAAGCATTGCATATTATATAGAGAGAGTGTTCCTCTAGGTTTTACTTTTTATTTATCTGGGACCTTTTTAATACTACATATCATCATATAGTAAGTCATTAAAATAATATTTTAATGGAGTAGAACCCATAAGATTGACAGTTATTACAGTAGTTGGTTTAACACTTCTGAATTAGAATCTGAGTTCATCTTCAAAATAAAAAGAGAAATACATCAAGCATACCTATGATTAAAGTATGAATCACCAAATCTATTATGCCAATAAAATAATGGCTTTGCATTTTTAAAATAAATATTTTATATCTTATCATAGATGTTTCTATATTTTTAGTTCTCAAATTTCTGATGCTGGCATCTGGTTGTCCTTAAAATATTTATGAAATATAGAATTCCAGACTCTATCTTGTTAAAAAAAAATCAGCCCAGACACAGTATCAGATATAAACATGCATAATTTGTTTCATTATGTATCTTCCTTTAAAAAACATTACCTTGGTTATATATATTTGATTTCAGGTTATAAAATATAATAATAGAATATTTACAAGCTAATTTTCACAAAAAATCTTTTGTTTGTTTACAAACTCCCAAGGTAATAAAAAAAATCCTTCATTGCTTTCCTTCATGTAGAATGATTGTTAAGTTGTCTACACAGTAGAAACGGAAGGGGCAAAGCTTCTATTTAGAGGTACAGGGAACCTCATTTTCTCCACCTGACACTTGTGTAGTCAGTAAGATAGGAAAGTAGCTGACAGTGTGTTTTGTAGCATCAACCAAGATATCTACCTAACGATACAGAAATAGGATTGCATATCATCCATCCTGTTCACCAAGCTGAAAAAGTGGATTTGTCACAGGATATAATTGTGATATATCAGGAAGTGAGTATATAGTTCAAAGTTCATCGCAATTCTGCTCGGTTGCTTTTGTGTTTTAGAGAAAAGAGTAAGATAATAAGAATGATTAACTCTTTGATTCATTTGAGAAAGCATTACAAAAATGTAGAGTACTTTTTGGGCAAATGAAATCCAGTTGCACCAATAAAAATTGGATAATGAGTTTTACAGCCCACAAACCAAAATCAAAATTTCCTTCCATGTCTATAAGACTCAGCTAGGTCTCCTTACATAACTAAAGTAGGGTCATACCCAGTGTGTGTGTGTGAACCTTTATAGTTGTTTTCATAGGTTAATTCATGTGATCTGTGCTGGAGCTGACACACACCAGCTCACAAGGTTTGATTGTGCTTTTTCTATCCCCAATCCCGCATCCAGTGGTGTTAAGTTGGGACTTTGAAATAAGCTGTAGTGGGAGTATTTACTGTCATACATAAATCAGGGCTTCCTCCCTCCCCCACATACAGCTAGCTGTTAAACAATTAACATAATGCTCATTTCACTTGAGGTCTTTCTTTCTGGCATTCAAGAAATGCATTTAATACTGAAGTCTTCTGACGATAAAATCACGGGTCCGAGTCCTTGAGTTATGGGTGGCACAAAATAGACAACGACCCCCCCCCCCCGTTTTCATATAACTAAATCATATAACTTTTCTGGTTTGAGGACAACATTGTCAATCTCATGCATGCTTTTTCCGTTTAGCTGCTCGCTGGGGCAGTCATGACTAAAGCCCGGAACATCGCTGATTGTTGACACGGTGTAAGAAGCGCTGCGGAGCGCATCTGAGTGGGAAAAGCTGTTTCCAAACTGGATTTTGTATTGATTCCAGTTTCTTCTCAGAATTGCTTGAACCTATCAATTAAAAAAAGAAGCAGAAAGAACAGAGCCATCCATTAATGGAAGTGAATATATTACATCTGAAGAATAATCTGAAGAATAGTAAAATTCATTTGGTAGAAAAGCTGTATTTCAAGGTTGGGTACGATTGAATGATACTGCTTCCTTTCCATATTTAATTAAAATTAAATTGAGTGAATAGTCTTTACATTAGGATATATATCATGCTTAGTCCATGGTCACTTTATACTTAAGATTTCATTCATATTTTATTCTGTGTCTTCTCTTTGAAGCTTTAATGATAGGGATAGATGTAAGATCATAGGCAATTAATTCAGCTTCCCATATACAAGGTTATGTGTACATCTAGTTTTGAGTCAACGTATTTATTAACAGCATGAGATGATAAGTAGTGGTAGTGTAAAGGAATATGGGACAGGTACAAAATAAAGACAAGTTAAAGATAGAAGACTGTTGTAAATCTTTATCGTCATTATCATTAGAGGTGGCGGCAACCTGTCATTGAATTACCTTTCACAAGAAGATGAGACGGATTATTTGTCTTCATGGAGTTTACTCCCTAGAAGAATTGTTACATAAGCAGCTGCATAATTGCTGCATAAGTAGCTGCAAATGGGGTGAATATTTTTGGAAAATATTTAGGAATGTCATTGCAGGCCAATATACTTGGATCCTCCTCTCCATGAATGAATTTGAGCTTTAACAACTCTTTCTTTTCTATTTGAAACTAGAGATCAGGACTAGGTAGGTCACATTCAGTGACTTTGATTTTAATTGTACTTGAAACACTCAAAGGACCGTATTCATTTGAAGTCACTAGGTACAAAGGAGAATATTCAATTACATCTAGAACTTGATGGTGTGGACATTTGCAGGTCTGATGAGCACGGGGATAGCGGGGAACAGCCTGCTTCCGGGTTACAAACATATTATCCTGAGCCCTGTGGCGTGATCCGCATCTGCCCAAAGTCTGCATTGTTTTAATCATCTTCTCCAAGGTTTCCTACGATGTTTGATCTTTTGATTATTGTCCCAAAGGGAATGTGAGCCTCTAAAAGTTAATTTCCAGGAATCTATGCACTATAAATATATTTATGCACTAAGTTTTAAAAATTTCCTTCTCTTTAGATAGAATTCCTCAACTTTGTAGTCACTGTATTCATGTATAAAAACCACTGTTAAATTTTTCAGAATGGTGCTTATTTTTTTCATTTCCGTCTCCAAATTACATACAGTCTATTACAAATAAGGAGTCTCAGGATGCCTGCAGCACCTTGTGATGAAGGCACCTAAAGTCTATCTCTTAAAATGAACACAAATTTACTACCTTACTCATGTTTTAGCACGAAGGAAAGCAGGAAGAGTCAAAGATAGAATTAGCAATTTCTTTAGGTAGAGCTTAAAATCAGTCATTAACATTTTCTTGTGGCTTCTCTCAACAATTAAAAATATATATATCAGTGCAAAGCTGTAACTTGGTTTTAAATGTCAGAAGTTCAACTGAGGACTGTAAAGCTGATTTATATAATACAGTTATAAAGAGCAAGGAAATGATTTCTAATCATATCAACATACATTGAAAATAAAATCACTTAGAGGAAAATAGGTGCACTTGTCTTCAAAAATTATACTCTTTCTGTTTGAGTTAGTAATTCGAAATCCTCCAAATGAAATCTACATATTAAATTTACTTAAAAATAATATCTGCATATGCAATATGTTTAAGAACATAAGGAAATGCTAAGTGGGAGGGTTAGATTGTAAATTTTAAGTAAATATTCACAGGTTTAACACAAAGAAGTGACCAATTATCTGCATACTTGTGATGGGAATTATTTGTAACCTGATTTTTACTCCACTTAATATATTTCTCTTCACTTTATCAACAGTGCTTATCTGACTGAATGCAGAATGTACAAGGCTTCCAATTAAATGGAAACAGAATGTAGTTTTGTGTAAAGGATTTTCCATAAATGTTGACGAGAAGCTGACAGGAAATATGTTAGCTGTGAGCCTTGGAGTTGTAGTCTTAAAAAGGAAATCTTTGATTTAATTCTAAAAGGCAGAATATCTTTTGAACTATTTGGATGTATGCTCTTGAAATATCTCCGATTAAGGTCACTACCCTATTTCTTCTTCGCAACTAAATCATCAGAAAAACCATGGCAAGCCAATATCCTGAAGTTTGGGTTTTTGTTTTTTGAAATTTAAAATCAACCTAATTAAAAACAGAGCAGCCTCGAAGACTTCTATTTGTTTATGTTATTCTTTATAACGATGTTACATTTTTTATCTGCTTCCCCTAATATAAGATCACACTTGTTCAAAAGAATATTAAAGAGGTCACTAGAATTTAAATGAAAAACATTGAAGGGAAGATGTCCAAGAGTTATTAAGAATATGAATATATATTTTCTTGTTTTATTTTTAAACATCAAATAAACAGTAAATTAAAATATTTCAAGTATAACCCTAAGGCTATATTAATACTTACTAAGGAACCATGTCTGTATTTGTTAGTATAATTTGGTTACAAGTTTTATAGAGCTTTATATAACAGTTCTACCTCGTCCTCATTAAGAATGTGGGTGCAGTTGTTTCCAACAATGTTTTTGCTTGCTTTATACAAATGATCAACCTTCCACTGTCGGCAGTTACCACCCTGATAGCTAGGGTCCCAAGCTATGCTAACGGCACTTATTTCTGCCTGAGTGGATGGGGAGAGAAAAAAAGTGGTCACAGCACTTGTCAAGCCACAGTTGTTACTGTAGTAAAAAATGCTACTAGGAAGATGTTAGCTAAAACTTAAATAAAAACTGCAAGCAAAAAGATGCAGATATTAGCTTAAAGGCAAGCCACTTCATGTGGCAAGGAAGAAAGAACCCACGCTTGAGCAAGTGATTTTAGGGGGAAGATGACATAGTTGGAACTGCGTAAAAGTGAACTTGGCCATTGTTCCTTCATGTTCTGAGAGTGGGAAAATCTCAAAGGCGAAGAGACAAAAAGGGAGGGATTGTAGTATTTCTTAAGACGAGAGATGACTCACGCTCAAACAGGGATCGTATCTCCAGAGATGAAGGAAAAGAGACAAATCTTAGAGATGTTTTTGAAGAACTCAAGGTTTTGACAACTGCCTGGCTCAAAGATTTTTATTATTGTAATTTTCAGTGCCAAAATTTTCTCAATTTTAGGACATGGCAGAAGATCAAGGTTCTGTGTCTCTTGGGTTCACAGATAAAGTGTAACAGGAGTGCTGGACATTAGTCTGGATATTTCCTGGGCACTCTTTCTAAATGAAAAAACCAATTTTAGATGCCGATTCCAATGCAGTTGTTTCCATTTGCACATGTAATTTTTTTAGGACATGAGTTACTTGACAAATCTAATAATGAATCTATGATATACTGGGGATCTCAGGAGGGAGCATTTGAAACAAACTTTACACTTATGAGCTTACAGGAAAGCTTGTGAGATTTGTGTGAGGAACTTACTTGTAGAAGTATTTCCCTTTAATGAAGATAGACACATACTCCCAAGTTCTAGACATTTCCCAAAATATAACAGCCGGGAAGGCAGTGGAAACATTAGGGTTTCAATAAATTGCTATGCTTATTTTACTGAAAACATATTTTACTAGTGATGTTTAGAATATTTAACAATTATATTTATGAAAATAAAATCTATTTCTGGAGAGACAGAGGAGTAAATTTCAGATTCCATGCCTACTCTTTGGCAGGTATCCATATCTCTGACGTCTATATACGTTACATCACACACAGGCAGCACATAGGATTGTCTAACTCTGTGTACACTACTATGTTTATAGAACTTCATGATAAAGGCTTTTCAAATATTACTATGAAAATAAATGATTTATCTATTCTTTCTAATTGTATTCTCTGTCTACATTTCCCATTGATTTCAGTGAAACAGTCTCTCTTATCTTTGGTTTAGCAAAATTATGGTAGCACCACATAAAGGTGTGCAACGTAGTCTACCATGATGATCCTATGCATAATTATAAGTATCTACCTTTTGAAATTAAAATGTATTTTAATTTTTAATTATAACTAAGCAATAAATCTCAGTATATGGCAAGACAAGTACAATTTTACATAAGCAAAGGAAAATGATACTTGATAGATTTTCATGACATGTACATCATTTCAAATATTGATTTGCTTTATATGAATGACTGGCATAAAAGTTATGCACAGTTCTGTGTGTTTCCCGTATAAAGCTTTGTGATCACCTTTCCAGTTATGTCTCGTCCCACTTAGTTGCTGTTTTAATCTCTAAACTTTGCTAGGTTTTGCCAAAATTCCTGAAGCTAAAATTTGTCAAGTAGGCCAGAAATATGTAAACAACTCCATCAATATTGTTCAACCACTGACCTCCAACAAAAATATAGTACTAGTTTTTAAAATTTCCAAAAGCTACCAATAGCAATGTCTTGGGTAACAATCAAGAATTATTGAAAACACATTGTCAGCTTGTAAAGGACAGCATTCTATTCTAATTTTCCTAAGCTGTGGTCCCTTCTCCCTGCTTAAGTGAGCATTTGATTTGTCTTAACTTTTTGAATCCACTCTTATAAAAATCACATTGTGAAGCCAGAAAAAGAGTGCTAAAGGAAGAATGACCTCGGTTTCTCATTAGCATGTATGCTGTATGAAGTAAACAATTTCATAGCACTGTACCTGGGACAAAGTCCAGATACACTGGGATCCAATGGTAGGTCAAAAGACTAGATGAATACAAGTCATTGATAAATATTTTAAAGGGAGTTGAGTTTTTACTGGCCTTAAACTGCAATATCACCTGAGATTTTGAGATTGAAATTTTTGCTTATGGAAAATATTCTATGTCCTTGTCTTTGATAGAGATGATATTTGAAATGGTTACTTGTGGGAAATTTTTATTTCTAGTTCATTTAAAAATAAATAGAATGATAAAAGGAATAAAACCAATCAACATACCTCTCCATTAAAAAAGCAGAAAATCGTAGAGACCAAAAGACCCTGTAAAACAAAGTGGAATTATCTGAATTGAAACAAAGAAGACACATGTATTTGTAATCAGGTTGCTGCACAATTAGTTAAGAAAGAAACCAAAAGTATAAACAAATTTAATGCAAATTTCTCAAGGTGCATTCTTGATGCCAAGAACATCATACCTGGAAGTGCATGAGAATGTGCATAATGTAGTCATACACCTCCTCAGCAATCCTTCCTTCAGGTCGCCAGGGCAGAAGCACAAACTCGATGCCAAGCAACGGAACCAGGATAAGAGTAGCTCTCACAGCTTTCATGTAGAGATGGGATTCGGCCTGGTGTGTGACTTTTAACTTAGTGATGAGAACACGCACAATATTTAATAGGAAAAAAAGATTCACCTAAAAAGAAAATAAAAGGACACATGAACATCATTTAGTATTAAAAAGCATGGTTGGAGCTCCAATTATATGAATCTTACAGCATACAATTTGCAAGAAAATGTGCTGTTGTAGGGTATATTTCTCTAAGATACTAATTTAATTTCTGGAATTATGATTTGTTCACTTTACATCAATTCTAAGGATTTTAACTTTTAGAAACATAAAATGATGGTAGTAATACTGTGACATGCAGTCTTCTGTGAAATACTTGAGAGTTTTCTTCAGCTCATTTTCTCATGCAGTGTTTTTGAATTTTTCTATCATCCAAAACTTAGAAGTTTTGAAAATTTTCAACTCTAATAATTACTTTAATAAATGTTAAATTTTATATCAGTGTCTATCCAGCATACTCTAGAAATGCTGTGCTAAGATTTTCAACTCTTTGGTTCATCTTTGCTGAGTTTCTGCTCTACACAGTCAAATGTATGACAAGATTTTATAACAGCAATCCTCCTGCAGCTTTCCAAAATAATACTGTAATCTTAATCCTCATGAAGAAACTGACTCATACATTTCAATCAGTAGGCATTCAACCTTGATCATGCTAGAAGTAAAATAATTTGACATCCCATATTCCTTTCTGTTAATTACTTTCCTTATTTACACATTTACTATTTATTTTGCCTTAACAACTTTGACCAGGAAATGGTACTCTTTGAAAGAGAGACAAGACTGTAATTCAAGACAGTCTTGCTGAAACACTTTCTCTCTCTCTCTCTCTCCCCCAATCCTACTTTCTCTGTTTACAATCGCAGAAGTCACTATTTTAAATTTTTGTCTATTTTCTCTGTGCCCATTTCTTCACTCTTCATGCCTGTCCTAGGATTATCAATGTTAACTACAGAAAAGCTCCATAAGGCTAATTGCTGACCTATTTTTTTTCTCACCCTGACGTCCAGCATCTGTCATTCATAGTCTTACAATTTAAAACCAGAAACCAGTATTTAATTTATATTCATACACATTAAAATTTTTGATGATGATTGTATTTCATTTGGTATAGAAAACAGTGAATAACTAGAACATGAAGAAATGAACAAGTGAAAACAGAAAACATCCATTTGCTAGTTTAAGGCATGTGTTAAGAAAATAAGTGGGCATAAACATATTCCAGTACTATTTTTAGAGAATATAATGTTACATATGCTTCACAAACATACTAGCAACCCGATGACAACATGTCTATGCAAAGGAACAAAGTTACAGTCACTAGAGTGCAATAAAGACAAAAGCAGACTAACTCGTGTAAGAATGAAGTACGTACAATGAATCAACTTGTCAGCTATACTTCTACTCAGCCTAACGCTTTCCTTTCCTAAGCACTCACTGCTGGTTAAAAGTTTTGATTAAACAGTAACCACTACTATAGAAGATAATAATGCCCCCTGACACAGACTGAGGTAGGAGGATCAGAAGCTTGAGCCCAGTCTGGGCAATTTAGCAACCTAGTGAGGACCTATCTCAGAATAAAAAGCAAAAAAAGAAGAGCTAGAGTAGCTCACTGCAAAGTCCCTGGGTTTAATCCCTAATACCACAAAATTAGAATAATATAAAATAGTTTAAAAGTCAAATATATAAAAAAAATTATGAAACAGTATAAACATTGAAATTTAGATCCTTATTATGAAAATTTCTTAAATGCAGAGTCACTCTCCAGCATGGTAGTGAGGCTGAAAACAGGAAACTCGAAGGAGAACTGGCAGTGGAGCTAATCCTTCTCAGCTACTCTCTAAATACTTGTGGCAGAGTGAATTGGACATCACTCACCACTCCGTTTTCCACATAATTATGATCCTTAAGTGCTACTTCATTTGCTGGAAATACTTTCACATATTTCAAACAAAAAATAGTGGAATTCTAACTTTCAGGTTAACTCTGTTTGAATTTTATCCTACTTACGGCAAACATAGTTAAGAAGAGATTGGTTTTCACCCCGATAGCCATACATTTCAAGAGCTGGTAGGCACCGGACAACGGTGCATTGCCACACTACGCTAGGGCCACAGAAAGCACCAAAGCGAATCAGTACAAAGGCCAGAGGAGGATTCTTAGAAGGTATTTTCATACCAAGATGGTCAGCAGTCCCTTAATTGTACCCTGAAGTGACCTAAGGATCTCTAACAGAGCTCATATTTCATGTATCCTCTCTCCCGTTACCCTTAACAAGATCTGAAAGTGGTTTGCACGACCAGGATACACAAGGGAAATTTGATGACGGAAATATGCATGGAGACAAATCTGATTAAAATATCTTATTTACAGAAATTGTACGGGCATCTACGGTCCTATGAATAATTGACATTTATGATCCTATGAATAATCCCTCCAGGGCCTTGGGATTGGCAGGATGAATGAGGGGCCATGGTGTTCAAACAAGGGCTGAACAATTTCACCTGATAGATTAAAAGGTTCCTAATCTTGTTTTAAAATAGTAAGAGGCAAAACATCTACGCAAATAAAGTGAATTTAAACTGTTTCTTGCAGTTTTAGTGATTGATCCATGTGGACAAATTACACAAATGCTCTACCATAGCTGCAATCCCTTCATTTTCTTCCTTGCTGTTTAGCTGGATGAGGTGTAATCAGCTATGATCAGCTCCCCCGTGACATTTTGCCTTAGTTACTTCATCTTCTCTTCTCGCTCAAAGTTTCCACTGTAACGTGTGGCATGTACTAGGTGCTTTGTTTTCCTATGCCTGGTTTATTTCAGTTAACATAATGCCCTCTGTACTAACCATTGCTGCAAATGACAGGGCGTCTTCATTTCTTATAGCTTACTGGTATTCCATTATATATATATATATATATATATAATGGAATGTATATATATCACATATATATATATCACATTTTAAATCTACTTATTTGACAATGGACATCTTTGATTGATTCTATATCTTGGTTATTGTATGATTGCAAAGCCCATGGGTATAGGGTATGTCTTTGCTATAATGAAGTGGGATTTCTGGGTCATAAAGTTGTTATTTGATTTTCAATTTTTTGCACAAATTCTGTAGTATTTTCCATAATGACAATATTAATATACATTTCCACCAACAGTGTATGAATTTCCTTTTATCTGATTCCTTGACAGCTTTTGGGCTTTTTTCTATAATATCTATTTAACTAGGGTGAGATGATGTTTCATTATGATTTTGATTTGTATTTCCATGATGTTTAGCGATATTGAATATTTTCTCAGTAGTACACTCTCTAGGAATTTGCATATGTTGTTCTGAGAAAAGTCCATTTTGATTCTTTTCTCATTTTTAAATTAGACATGTTTTGTGGTTGAGTTGCTTGATTCCTTACATAATCTGGATATCAACCTTTGCCAAATGAATAATTCACAAGTATTTTCTTCCATTTTGTATGTCGTCTCATAACTGTATTTTTCTTCTTTGCTGTGTAGATGCTTCTCAGTTTTATGCAATCCTTTTTGTGTTGTTTTACTTTTGTTGCCTTTTCTTCAGACAGCTTAATCACTGCCTATATGAATACCGTGAAGTGTTTCTCCTATGTTTTCTTGTAATCATCTCGTAGTCTTGGTACTTACAGTTCTGTCTTTGATCTATTCTGAATTGACTTTTGCAGGTGGAGGGAAGTTTGATTTAGTTTCATTCTTCGGTGTGTGTTTATCCAGTTCACCCAACCCCACTGGCAGAAGCAACTGTCTTTTGTCTAATGTACACTCTTCACAACTTTGTTAAAATAACTTGGGTAGAATCTAGTCCATTCCTTTGGTCTGTGTGTCTGTTTTTATGCCAATAACATTCGGTTTTTATTACTATAGATTTATGTTTGAACTCAGGTATCATGTTGTCTCCAATATTGTTCTTTGTGTTCAGGGTTGCTTTGTTAATTCTAGTTCTTTTGTGTATCCCCAGTAATTCTGTGGTTATTGTCTCTAGTACTTTGAAGACTGTCATTGGTATTTTCATGGGGATTGATTGAAACCTGTCGGTCACTTTGAGCAGCATGGACATTTTAACAATGTTATTCTCTGTAACCCATGAGCATGGATTTTTTTCTAGTTTTGTGTGTCTCCACTATGATTTATTTCATCAATGTTTTGTATTTTTCATGGTGGAGATCTTTAAGTTTCTTGTTAAATTTGTTCCTTGGTGGGAGCGTGGGCACGTGCACATGTGTGTATTGACTGGGATTGAGTTTTTGGAAACTTATGTTTCCATCGGTTTGTTGTAGATGTAAAAGTTATGATTATTGTGTTGTTCATTTTACAAATAGGAGACCTGCAGTATGGGGTGACTAGCTAATTACCTAACTGAGGTCAGACAGCAAGTAAAAGGTGGAAGCAGAACTTAAACCCAGGCAATCACCAGGAGTTGCCTTCTTAATTATAACAAACTTTTGAGAATGGCTTAATAATGAAGTATGTGAGGATGGCCTATGCATATTTTAACACAATCCTATACTTAATTGAAGCTAGCAAGTCTTGAAAAGTAGTATGAGAATCTATGTATAAAAATTAGTCTGAAAATCAGAGTCAGGTATCTTTGAATATGATTTGAAAGATACACCACCTTTATCTGTTAAATGTATTTTAATACCAGCTGTAATTAAGGCTTCACTCTTCAAAAATGCAATTGCTTTGTAATCTCTAATGCTCTATGAGAGAACCATGCTAATTTATATCAATTCATTCACTCATTGAAATAATATAATAAAAGCACTGAAAGTGACTTCTGCTTCCCTCAATCAGCTTAAAGATGTCCAATTGATACATTCATATTGTGATGTTTATTAAGGTAAAATAATTTAAGCAATCATCTTTTTTTTTTTTGCAGCAATGACCTTTGGATGAAATTCTTTTCTTCATTAGAATGCTCTGCTTGCACAGAGGTGTTGGTTTTCTTCGCTCACCTTCCCAATTCATTAAGTCCATCCTCTGTTCTGCCTGCATCTTGGGAAAGGCATCTGTGGATGACCTCATTGCCAGGGCTTTCTTGCGCTCTGACCTTGGCTGTATTTGGCCAGTCAAAGGAACCAAGAGACCAGGGTGTAAGGAGAGAGATTAGTTTGAGGATTTATTTCTGCTGCATCTTCCCTTCCGGGCTGTGGTTTGGCAATGCTTGTTTTCCTCTACCGGATGCCAGGGCTCTTGTTGGGTTATTTCTCGGAACTTGTCCAACTTCATGAGACTGCCCTGTGCTCTCTGCAGAAGCAGAAGTGACAGTAGCTTCCCACTCTTGGTTTTTGTTGCCGATCACCCTCCACAAATAAAACACCTTCATCACACCCTAGTCAGTCAAGCACTAGGAATACATTGTTTTTGACCACTGGCATCGGAAGGGTATCAGAGCTGAATGATTCTGGAAACATGTACACTGCTGAAGAAAAAGGAATTTCAGTCACATACCAGTAAAGCAGCACAAATTGGACCGTGGATAATGTAGAGGAGATGGGTATCGAAACTAATCCAGCAACTAGGAGAAAAATAAAAATATTATGTCAAATATTTTCATTTTACTTAGTTCTAATACAAATCATAAAGAGAGATATCTTACTTGTCATTGTAATATAAGCTTCTAGCAATAGCATGTATACAGGCAGGAATCAGTGGAAATCCTATAAATATCAAAGAAAAAGAAAAGAAGTAGATCACTGTCACTGTTGATGGCACTCTTACAATACAGGATGAAATATGAAACTAAGAGATATTTTAGGAACACAAGTTACTGGCTACCACATATTTATCGACTAAATGTTATATGTTCAGTCCAATAATAAATATGATAAACTCTCAGGTATTTATATTTCTTTTTGTATGTATATACACCTATATATCTTATTCTAGAAAGTCATTTTGAATTGGTGTAGTCCAGAGTTTAAGTGAATAAATTCACTGATTAAATCCAAAAGCCTAGAAGAAATTCATATATTTTCTGTGAAATGGAATTGATCGTTTGCAGCTGACCAAATGTGGAAGAGTTAAAACTGATGAGAATATGAGAATTTCTAAATGAGAACCATATTAATACCCATTTTCTGAAGCAGAAAGACAAAGAAATTATTACTTTTTTTGAGATAGTGCCTCATTCTGTAGTTCAAGCCATCCTTGAGCTCACTATGGAGCTCAGGCTGGACTCAAACTCCCAGAAATCCTCTTGCTTCAGTCTCCGGAGAACTGGGATTATAGGCATTCCTCCCCACACCAGCCAGAAATGATTTTTTTGTACCAGAAATGTTATATGTTTTGAACCTGAAAATCATATCTGTCAAAAATTAAATGAAATGAGAATGTACTATTGTATATTGTATGAGTGTATATTTGAGTATACATGAATTTTTATATCTATGTCTTGATTTAGACAGATGATGAATGATAGATAAATAGATAAGTAATATTTCTGTTTTGTTTCTGGAAACTAGCCCTATTTAAATAATGTATAGAATTTTATATTTTGCTTTACTTCAACTACTTCTTTAGTGTGGCAGAGTGTGTCACTGTTTGTTTTATAAGTAATACTATGCCTTGATATGTAGAAAAAATAGATCTTTAGCATGCCTTTATTTAATTACTGACACTTCTGCTGACTAACTACCAAAAGGCAATTTAATACAAACACTAATGTTTTTGAGATGGAACCTCAAAGCTAGTTAAGCCTGGTGTCCTCTTTCCACATGGCAAGAAAAGGAATTCAGAATAGCGCAGAGTAGATCCCTACTGCGTGATCTTAATCCTGTCTTCTAACCATTCCATCCTCAGCCACAATAAACTATTCACTGGAACACTGGACGTAAAAAGGACGTTGTATCACTAATCAGCCAGTGAGTATTGAAAACAATGAAACAGTAGCCCACGCTTTGCTTTAAAGGTTCCATTTCACAGCAATAAGCAGCACTAATCACCTGGTGGCCTTTAAGAACAATGGATAAGAAAGCATTTTTATTACCAAATCACCTCGCATCCTCTAAAAGCTTCTTGTTCGTAGGGATTAGCAGATGTGCAAGGTGGCGCTTACCCCAGCCAAGGAAATAATACCACATCAAGTGCTGCTTCTCCGCAAACACAGCCACTACGATGAGCGTGTGCAGGTAGATGCCTTCGCACAACATCCAGAAGTAGTTACAGCCCAGAAGGTAAAGGTGAATGAACTGGGACACTTTACAGCTAACCTGTGAGGAGAAAGAATGCAAATTTTGTTTTTCTTCGTCTGGGAATCTATATGACATGATCGTCTGGTTTCAGGAAAACATGAGATTTTCTGTTTTCTACACAGAAATGTATACGCTAATGATGTAGGTGCCTGAAGCGCCAGGCTTTACGCTCATCTACTGGCACCTTCAGTGCTTTGGGGCACAGACTCCAAAGACTTACAGTGAGAGGTATCCCAGGAAGTCCTGTAAACTTGAAATTGTCCTCATTTACTGAATGTATGCTTTCCTAAACTGTTCTGGTCATTATGTAATTAGGAATATAAACATTTCATGCATGCATAATTTCAAATCTATGTTAATTATGAATCCCTGGATTGTTACATTCCATTAGGAAAAAGCCATAATAATTTTTAAAACAAATAATCAAAGTTCCCATGGAAAGTTTTGTGCACTGCATGCTCTTATTTGCAAATATTTATTAAATAATAATTTGACAGACCCATATGTTAGCTATTCTATCCACATATGAAGCATAAGGGTTTCCTGTAAGAGTACAGGAGAAAGAATATAATATTTCTTTCTCTTTTGCTGAGGTCTCCATGGTCTCTATTCTTAGTGAAACATGAGGAGGGAGGCCCACACATTGAATACTGAAAATACCAAGGAGTAAGAGAGATAGTTTACTCCCTTAACAGGGATAAATTTAAGGCTCTTCCAGAAATACATGGCAATTGACGCCCGTCTCCTCTAACTTCCAATCTAACATTCAGTAGATTTGTCGTGGAAATCATCACTGATTTTGAAATAATATTTTTTCAATAAATAGAAAATTTGAAATGAAAAGCGTTGAAAAATTAATTCTGTTATCACAGGATGTTAACAGCGTTTGTATAGGAGCTAGCTTAAAATCTTGCTTATATTGTTGTATTTAACCCTTAAATTAACTCTATGAGGCATGTATTACCAATAGCCATGAATTTTCAGGCTAAAAACTAACTACTGAAACAGAAAAATAATGTCCTTATACATTAATCAAAGGTGCACCCTGAGCACAAATCTTATAATTCCAAGTTTACTTTCACCGCTACACAGTCCTGCCTGGTAGACTGGAGTTTCAAGTTTTTATGTCTATATTCTTAGATATTCATATAGAATTGGTATATTAATTCTTGATTTCATTAAAATGTAACCAATACAATATCACAATAAGAAATTAGAGCATGATTTAAAAATAGATTTTTGTGCAGGTCATTGATGTTACAGCAATTCATTTTTCTAAAAAATTTCTAAAAATAACTAAAGTACATAGTGTTTGCAAAAACACAAAATTTTGAAACTCTTGCTCTACTCTACAGCTTTGCGACAAATCTGAATCTCCTTGCTCCCGAGACGTGCCCTCCGCTGGACAGGACGTCAGCCAGTTTTTCCTACTGCTAATTATACCCGGTGTGTTTCCTAGCCCAGGGAACCTACAAGATTAAACAATCCGGATGCACATGTACAAACAATGGAGGGAATTTTAGAACTTTGGAAATTACCCTAAAAACACACATAAAACACATATGAGAGTGTTGTTTATTGACCCATTGGGTGAAAATTCCTTCCCTTCTCTGATTGCCATAAATTGATAATTTAATCTCTTAAAAACACTACATGCACACACACACACACTTTCTAAACTGTACTATATATACTACAACTATGAGAACAATACTACTACAATTATGACAACAATATTTTAAAATTTAATATGTTTAAGTACAGATATTTTAATTCAAACACAGGATGTGCATGCATTTAGCTTGTCTAAAATGTATACAAATGTACAAATAAGTTTTAAGTTACATTTTTAAAGCATGGCGTCTAAAGCAATACTTTATAAATGTTCATCAGAGCAATGAGGGGTGGTTAGGTCTGTTTAAAATTTTATGTTAATGACACTGAACCAGATGCTCCGCCCAGGCTGTTCCTTGTCTTCCCGCACGAACCCTTGAACTTCAAAGGCTCAAGCTTGTTCTACTTACAGGATTTGTGGCCACCAAGGCCTGGTTGTTGGCCACTGCAGTGAAGTGAATGATTGTCACAGTGGAGTTACAAACGAAAGAGAAAAACAGATTTTTGTGCAGGGTAATCCTTTGGCAACTTAGGCTCCTGCAAAGCAATGAGACAAAGTGTGTTGGCAGCATAAAATATTTCCACATTTTTATTAAGCACCATAAAAGTAAGGTCCATTCTCAATTCATGGAGGATGCTGTAATACCGGAGAAATTGCTTTTTCCTCATATCCCCTCATGACAAATCTTAACTAAGGAAAATATATAATTCCCCAGAACCTAAAGAAAAATGAGTTAATTTTTCTACATAGGGACTAAAAATCTGCCTGTCTTAGCTCTTTACATTAACATGTGTTACTATCTGAATAGAAGGAGCATTTTTTATTTATTCTGTAAAAACAGAAATGAGGATGTGGTACAGTTGAATACTTTAAAACTATGCTGGTATTAATTTGAGCACGTTGGATTTATCTGTGATTCTCACACAGATGATGTGGTTTTCATTATCCCACACAGATAGACTCTTCTGTTTAAATTGTCCTGTGCTTGTGTGGTGGTAATGATTGTGAGAGAGGTATTGTATTCAGAGTAGATGGATAGATGAAAATATAGACATAGCAACCAAGAAGCATTGTTTGGAGGGTTGCTTTTTTTTTTTTCTGTTTGACTTAGTCATGCATAAAAGTAATGCCACTCCTACTGAAGTTCTTTCAGTCTAAGATAAATATATAAGAAGGGTTCAATAGAAACAAATGTGGAGTTTAGTAGAAATAGATTTATGGAAAAGACATCCTAGGTGGGATATGTGATGCCACCTTTCAGACTGAATTCTTATTCACTATGAAAACTGTCAGTTTCTGACTGCCCTACACACCTTGAAGAGAAAGCCTACACACTACTTACTCATCAAGCATTCACTTGAAGAGTTCGGGTGGGAAACATTTTGAAATAATAGAAAGGAATCAACTTGAAGCAGAACGTTCAGTGTTAAGTCTAAGCACACTTGTAGGAAGATACTGCAAAGCATTAAATCTCATGTTGTGTATTTTACTTAATTATGCTATTAACATGGCCGTTTTAGATAATCCACTATACTCAAACCAAAGACTCCTTTGAAAACTTTAAAATTGTCACCTAGTATTATCACCATATCTCTTTATTTTAAAGAAAGGAATCCCAGGGCTGGGGATTTAGCTCAGTGGCAAAAGCGCCTGCCTGGCAAGTGCAAGGTCGTGAGTTTGGTTCCCGGTACCGGAGAAAAACCAAACAAAAAAAAAAAAAAAAAAAAAAAAAGAAGAAAGGAATCCCATGCCCAGAATATTAGAGTTAGAGTAAGATACCCAGGCTTTCTATATTTAAAAAAAAGTTTAGACTATTACTCTAGAAATTTCTTTCAGTTATAAGTCTATGAGTTTATACATAGCTCTAATATTTTAAACATGGAAATGAGTGCAATCCAAATTAGTATTTATGGGTTTCCCACATATGCTTTCCACAAAATTGGGTGCTGTTAGTGAAGATTTATACAAAATGCTGGCTGGCTGTGATGCTTTGGGATGATAATCGAGTGTAATGAAGACATTCATGTCGCAGGAGGTATAAAAAAATCCAGCTGAAGTCCAACAAAATATAAACAACAAGTAACTGCTGGTTTCATATTTGAGAGTCATTTACTTTAACTTGATTTCACAGTGATAATAATGAGAAAGGCAGGCAGAGGTCAAGCTTGATCTATGAAATATTGATGATATTAGAAAAGAAAAAAGTTAAAATTGCACAAAATTATTAGCATCACTGTTGATATTATTGAAGGAACTACAATACTGAGATAAAGACCTTCTTACTTTCACTCAAATGCCATAGCAGTGGCAGGACTGGTTTGAGATCAGTGAGTGAAGAGACCTTATGCATAAGAGAAGAGGTCTAGTAAATAACATTTCTTCCAAAGCATCCCATGTGGTTTGTTTCTATCCTGCATTACTCTTCCATCATGAAATATACAAATGCATAAAATGTGTTCACAGTCTTATTTTAAATGCTTTGAGCTTACCCTGCGTCTGCGCAGTGCCGAGTTTTCTTTGTGGAGAAAATTCCTAGCCATATAAACATGCACTTTTTGGTAGCAAGATTTAATTATATTCATTATTTAAAATGATGGGGAAAAACAAAGTTGTCCTTAAATGAATTGTTTTTCCCTTTTCATCTGAACCCTCTTATGTCTAGGCTTATTTGTTAACACGTGTAAATTTTACGGTTTTTGAATCATGAGGAAAAGACTGGAAAGTTTTACTCAGGCAGAAAATCTGAAATATTTGTAAGGAGTCAATTAGAATTAAAGAAAATAAACACTAAAAATAGACTGTATGAAATAGTTATGTATGAATGAGAAAGCAGAGCTGAAAATAGAACCTGAGGAACATGATTTGAACAGCATAATTATAATTGTTGGTATTAGTAATGGTCAGTGCATAAGACTGAAAGATAGTCAAATAAAGTGCTATCCACAGTTAGTTAAAAAGAAGTTCTAATTTGTTTTGTGTAGACTTAAATATCCTGCCTTTCTCCAGGAAGGTCTGTATTCCTGTTCTGCTGAGCTCCCTCTTTCCCATGACCCTACTTCTAGCTCAGTCTGTCTTTAAAGGTGAAGATTTAAGACTGAGCTGTGTTACATCCTCTCTTCGAAAGCTGTGACTGCTGTGGGGATAGACAAACCAGAAGCGGCTTCTTCTTCTCTCACTATGTGATGAAAGGATACACCAGATTTCTCTTTGTTATTTTGGGCAAAAAAATGAAATCCACTTAAATTGATTTAATAACTGAAATAAAGACTAAAAATTTAGGAGAAGGATGAATGTTATTTAATTATTCAGACTAAAACTATATAAACCTTTATTTTGAATATTTTATGAAACTACCCAAATATTATTGTCAATTTAGGTAATCCACCCATATAACTCAAACCAGAGACTTCTGCTTTAGAAACCCTGAACACTGAATTTAGCTGTCCAAAGTGATGTAATAAACTGAACCACTTCCAAATCATATCACTTTGTATTGTGAAAATAGATCCTAGTGTTGAAAATATTAACCTACTGCTTTAGTTTCTTCCATTTGTACCTCTAGATACTGTATAACTTAAATGCAGGTGGATTCTCTCTAACATATGGTTTCTATCAATGTCTTGTGGCAAAATACATCTCAGATTTTTCTAGCAATGCGCATTGTTTCCTTCTAACCATACTCATTAACACATGTAAGTGGATTCATAAAAATGAAATCAACTTGCAAATGAAAATCAAAAAGGTCTAAACAAGTGGTTTGTTTCAATGAGACTTCAAAATTTGAAGGTAGTTTTTCAAATGCTAACCTATGATCAATTTTACTTCCATTAAATGCTTAAATATTATTGTTTTACTTAGTATGTTAAAGTCAATTATTTATAGGCTTAGAGAATATTTTCCAAAAACTTCTCTTTGACTTTTGCAATATCCCTTTTTCTTCTAGCATAAACACAGACAAAGTGTGGTGATAGGTCTGGATCATTTCCACTTCATATTCTTCATGTATAGTTATCTTAGAACACCTTTCAATATGCAATTATCCCAAGAAGAATTATTAAGACAGCTGGTGCAAGTGTGTAAACAATGCCACTATACTCCATACAGAATGGAACTATGTCTTTTTGAACAGTTAGAAGTAGGTGTCTTTAAATCAGCACTTACTGTTCAATTTGTTTTTGAAGCCTGACTTTAGTGTGATCCTGGACCCTGCCATCTACTTAAGCATGAATTTGAGTTACTCTTATCTAATATCTCTGATCCTCAGTTTCCCTATCTTTAATAGAGGATTTTGGTAAAGTTGGCTTGAGAGTTAAATGAAATAAATTAATCTATGGTTAATATAACATTTAATCTATCTTTAACGCTCAGTGTTAAATTAGTTATATTTAACATCACTATCACTGATTTTAATCAAATACTCTGAGTTTTCTGTCACCAATGATAAAATAACATCACATCTCACTTCAGACTTATAGAACTGCCTCTTTATAAAAACAAATACTCTTTAGTAACTCAATAAAATAGTAAATAAACTGTCATCTTTTTATACAAAACACAAGGATTTAGGTTTAGGAGGAAATTTTTTATGTAATAAAGGGCAATAAAACAAAAAACCTAAATTATTTTCCCAAGGAATTTCATTCTGTACATAGTTGTCTCAAAATCATCATATTCATAATCATGGTGCCCCAAATACTACCTTGACGATTTCTTCAAATCTCTTGCCACTAACATGGATGAAAATTTTTCTCTTGTTTTTATTTGATTTGGACATGAGGGAGAAATTTCCATATTACTTTTCTCAATACTAATTACGAGCAAAAGGAAAACCAGAATGAGGGAATACAAACAATGTAAGTTTAACCTAGTCTACAAAACACTGCTTCCTTATCTTAGTTTGTCTAATTTAATTTTCAAACGCTTAGATCTTTTCCGAATAAAACACTGACCAGATAATTGAAAGTTCAAGTCAATCAGAATGTTGCCAGAAACAAACAAAAAAACAACAAATGTAGTAAAAGAATAACCAGTGTCTCTATGTCTGATCTACTGAATTGAGCTTTGAGCTGATGGAATCATCTGATTCATATATTTGACATGGAGTGCTGGTCACCCATCAGCAGCTCTCTTTTGGAAATGGTTTATGATCCATTAGCACAGATTAGGAACAACATGAATTGCAGAAGGATTTTAAGTAGGCATGCAGCCTAGGAAATTAGCAACTTAGCACAACTCTGCCTCAAAAAATAAGTTTTTATAAAGGGAGCTGGAGATGTAACTCAGTGAAAGGACCCTGATTCAATTCCTGGTATAACCAGAAAAACAAAACAGTATGAAACATAAACCTTTCAGCAGTAAAATTTGTAATATGAGCAGCCACCATTTCGTGAGCCACTACTATATCGCAGAACAGAGGTAAGCCCTTTAAAGTCATTCTCTTGTTAAAATACTATTATTCCTTAATAAAATTGAAGTTGTGCATGTTTATACTTTTATTACGTGAGATCTAGAACTTAAAGGGAAGTTGTTATGGCTT